TCCAATATAAAGTGGACGATTTTATTTGAGATATTGATGATCATTTTTTATTTGGTAGAGATGTGTTGTAATTAATAAACGTTTGAATTTATGGTATAAAGTGGACAATTTTATTTTGATATGAAATGTCCGAATTTAAATGGCATGAATAGAAGTGTATTTTGAAATTTTGAAAGTGGTATGAATTTTATTTTGTATGAGTATGAAAGTCAAACTTTAGATTGATTTGTTATAAAATCTATGTGATGTGATGCTCAAACTTTACCATATTCTCATTAGAACTTGTCATAAGATATTGATGATAATTCGGCAAATTGGTATGTATTCCTCTTGAAAATCAGATAGATCTTTGAACAAATATTGGCTAATAAAATTTAAAAGTTGTAATTTGATCTAGAGAATTGATTGATAAATTTGAACAATACGGTAACTGAAAATAAATACAAAAAATTGCGGGATAATATATATATATATATATATATATATATATATATATATATAATAAGAATTAGCATTTTTAAAAAATAGTAAGTCAAATCTTAGTCAAACTCCCATTAGCATTGATTACATGTCACTTATGGCAATTATTTTTTTAACTTAAATACGTGCAGCATCAAATGCTGACCTTAGAATGTGAAAATTGTTTCAGCATCATTCCATATATCGCGGTAAGTTTAAAAAGTCAATATCATTCTATCGCATGCTATCATAAACCTACAGAATCCCATATAAATCTGAAAATTGTTTCGGCAAGCTTAAGAAAATATAATTCCGGTAAGTTTAAAAAGTCAATATCATCCCATCGCATGCCATTATAAACCTACAGAAGCCATCGTATAAATGTGAGTGAATTTGAAATATATGATCACTTATCTATTGTAACTGATTTTTTAAAATAATAACAAATAATTTAAAAACAAAAACTAATTCACTCTAATGTCTAATTACTAATATAAATCCCTTATGTATGTCTAATTACTAATATAAATTCCTGATTTGTGGTAAGATTTTTTGTAAAGATGTCTAATTACTAATATAAATCCCTTATGTATGTCTAATTACTAATATAAATTCCTGATTTGTGGTAAGATTTTTTTTAAAGGAAGCTAGAAGCTAATTTTCACTATCTAATTACTAATGTTTTTTCAAATATTGTTACCATTTTGAATTTTATGTTCTCCTGTACAAGCTAATTTTTTTATGGTGTATAATAAATTGATATAGGATAAATTATATCACATGCTAACCTCACATTTTTAATTTATAATTATTATTCAATATTGTTTACCCTCATATTTAATTAATAATATTTTTTTCTTGCTCTTCTAAAAGAGGATCAATAGTAGTTCCCCACTTCTTTCGTTGGGTGATTTGAACTCGATACTTATTTATAATCAATATTTAATATTGTTACCCGTGCATAGTACGGGCTACACACTAGTTTGGAGTACACAAATTAATCATTCACACAAGTAAAATCATTATATGTATAAGTTTAATACATATAATAGTGATTGTTATATTACAAATTTTCATTATTTTGTGTTTGCTCCATTCATTTTATCACACATTTTTAAGATAGTAAGTTTGACTTTACGAAAAAGGTAGATGTTGTATTTGAAATATTAAAAAATAAATCGTAGTGCATAATTTAATTTTATTAATTTTATTATGGTAGTTACATTATCGGATGCATCTACGCTAATACCTTCGTTCCAAAGACCAGATTCAATCATTCAAGAATTTGGTATATTTTTTTTATTGTTGTATATTTTATAACATTATTACAGTCATTGAATTATAACAATATTGTTATTATTATGTATTTTTTATATTGACCATTAGTTAATTTTTAATGTTAGGTGTTTCATTCCCAAATTATCAACGTTCGTCTCAAAATAGTTCTATAACTCATATCACAAATGCTTATTGGAGCAGTTTACTGCCTTTAATTAATCTTACAAAGAACAATGATGAAAATGCACCACCGACATTGTTGTTAAACAACATTAGCAATGGTAATTCTAAATTTATTATCAAAATGTCTAATTTCTTTTTGGGGTAGCAAATTTATTTTGTTAATCATATGTATTTAAATGTTATTTTTCGTTTATTGTTTTATAATAATAATCTAATTTTTTTTTCGAGTTCCTTAAACTTGCTGCCTCGAAAAAACGTAGGCGGTCGTCCCAGACTTGCATTACCTGTCCTCACAAATGGTAACTCTAAACTCATTATAATTTTTGTCTAATTTATCTTTTTGGACGTTAAAAAAATTATTAAATTTAGTTTTTCTATATTTAGAAGATATTTTTTTGTTATTTTTTTTAATAATAATTTTATTTTGTGCAGTTTCATTATTAAATTTGGCCCCTCGAAAAAAGGTAGGTGGTCGTTTGAGGCGTCCATTACTATTGCTTATAAGTTTTATTATTTTTTCCTCTATCATATTGATTTTCGTGCAAATACACGGGTCACAACTAGTATATATAATTGCTAGCATAACATTTAATTTTACCTAATAAATTTTACCTATTAAATAATACATACATGACAAACTTTCCATATACTCCAAAACCGTTACTTTCTCTAAGTATATCAATTTTGTCTATTTCAGAATCTAGTAACGAATGTTACATTTGAAACTAATCCAAATTAACTCAGTAAAAGCATTTGGTAATTAAGACAAAACTGTTACATTTTATATCATTTGAGTAATATTTATATTTTCTTATTGTATCATTTAATAATTATTATTCAAATTAATAATTATACTTTATACTAAATGGTATAAAAATTACATAAACATAAAAAATTCTATTGTAAAACTTTTTGTTCAAGTTATTATTTTAAAATCAATAATATATTTCTTATCTGATTAAACGACTATTTTCTAAATAAATTAATTTATTTTAATGTCATAGTAAAATCTCTTGAAATCGCATAAATAATTATTATAATAAATTTAATAATTTTCAGTAAATTAATTGGTCATAATCTCTCAAAATTACAAGTATTATTATTTATTACATTTTATGCAATCAACATAGTGATTCATATGCAATCAAATAGTTACGTACTATTTATTTTAACTGAAATAATATGATATCATTATCTAACTTATAATTTTAATATTCTATGCAGAAATATAACTTATAATACTTTATGTTTAAAATTTAATTTCATTGTCTAATTTATAATTTAATATTATATATATATAAATAACTTATCTATACTTATATTAAAGGGAGTACTATTTACCAAATTAAGTAGCCAGAAAAGTCAACAGCATTTATTGCATTACTGTTTCCGTATTATACTAGATATAAAAGGATATTCTATTTACTACATTTACTATCCAAAAAAGTCAACTGCATTAAATGTCATTACTATTTTGGTATTATAATATTTTGTTTATTTAATTGATTTATTTATTTGTTTTATTTTAAAAAGGTAAGTATAATAAAAAGATTTTAATAATAAAAAAATCAAATACCAAATAAAAATGTACACTTTGACTTATTTGATTATATTTGGTATTTGATTATACTAAATATATTCCTATTTAGTATATACATTAAATACTTACTAAAGTATTTATTTGTTCTATTTGTCAAAGTTAAGTATAAATTTGTTTATATTATCAAATCATACAAAAATATTAAATCCATATTGTAAAAAAAAAATCATATAATTTTATAACAATTCTACTACACTATTTAACAATATTTTTTTATTATATAATAAAATAATAATTAAATATTATATGGTGAACAACAATAAGTAAAACTGTTACTTTCTCTTATATTAAGGGATAAATTTATATACTAAAATTAAATTTTTATTAGTATAAATATTTTAGTGAGATAATATATTAATTACTTTACAAGCTAGCCCTAACATGCTCATATTTAATGTTTTAAAAGATGTAGAAAAAAAGCTTATAATAACTTTAGTATTTTTTAGACTTAAAGGTTGATTAAAACAGATAAAAATTCTTAATTTTTTAGACTCAAACGTTGATTAGCACCATAGATTGAGAGTTTATATTTAGTAAAATTCCTAATTGTAATAAAAAAAATAATTTTTGCTATATTTTAGAATATCTTTAAATTCATTATAAAAAAAGAAAAAAAAACTACAATGAAAAAAGCAAGTCAGCTATATATCAATTTGTTGTACTCCTCAATTCATATTCACAATTTGGCTACAAGGAAAGGAAACTCATTGATTAAAATATTATTTTGTCAGTAGTCTTAATGTACAAGAGACTTTAAGACTCCACTTGAATATTATAAAACTTTTATTGAACATTGTACAATTTCTTGCGTATTATAAACTTTTATTGAATATTGCATCTTATAATATAATATTCTCTAATAAAATATCTCGTGCTTCGCACAGGTCACGTACTATATATATCCCGTACATTTTTCTTTTTTCATGTATATAATTATAAGTCTGGATAAATAGCCTTAAAATTGTGCACCCCGTACATCGCACGGGCTGTGTACTAGTAATACTTTGTATATATGTGCAAATGCACAAGATGGAATGTTAGTCACATTAATTACCTATTAATGCTACACCATTTGCCAGATCTATTCCAAAACCTCCAAAACAATTTCTTATCTTAAATTCAAAAGGGGTAAAATCCCAAAATTCATTCATCCTCAAAGCCAGGTTGCCCGAATCAAAACAATTTGTTATCTTCACATTCTAAAGAGGTAAATATTAAATAAATAACTAGTAAGTTTATAGTTACTAAGACCCAACCACTGACCAGTTATACTTTCTAACATATATTCATTATATATTTTACATTCTAAAAAATAATTTAAACAAAAATATGACATTTTTATAATATAAATATATATTTTTATTTTTATGAAAACAGTCTGATGTCAATCCACTACTAGCCGCTTGGTACAAGAATTTGCAAAAATTAGTTATAATTCTGAAAAGAAGGGGTTGTCCCTTTCCCAATGACTTCAACAAAACAAAAACCTGTGAGTTGTTTTTGCTGTCCTTCTGTTACTGTTTCACAGTTTGGTGGGTAGTAAAAAAGAACCCCTTTTTGTTGTCTGACCCTGTTTCTGTTGGGCCCTGGAAAAGAGTTATTGCCTTGCTTTTAATATGTTTATATATAATATATAGCTTTTATTGTACTCTGACACTCACTCAAGCCAGCGCTTAATTACTCACCTCTCAGTAGAAACGGTTGCTTGGTTTGCTGTCAAGAACATGCCAACAGTGTCCCCTTCACTGTTCTGCATCAAGAATTCATAGATTTTAAAAAATCTCTCTTTTTGTGTGTGTATGTTTATCCCTTTGATCTGAAGAGAGAAGCTTTTATTAATCTTTCTTGATTTTGCACATGCTTCCTCTCTCTCACGGCACCACCCAAGCATTATTTTTGGGGCTTTTCCAAGAAACCAATGCTTCTTCACTTTCTCTCTCTTGTTTATTGCTTGCTTCTCACTCTTACTGCTAGTGGGTCTTCATCTTTAAACCTACCCCCTTTAGTTATTGGTTCTAGCCACCCCCATTTGACATTGACTCTTATTTTTGCAGTTTTTTTGAGTTACTGAGGAGGGAAAGATTTGTGGGCATTTCCTGATTTTGTTGTTTGAGGTTTTTTGATGTAAAGGCTGAATTTTTGAGATTTTTTCTTTGAGTTTGGCATGGGGGTGGTGCTGATGATTCATGTTTTGGGTTTGGCGCTTAAAGTCTGTGCCTTTTTTGCTTGCTCTTTATGGATTCATGGATCTGCTGGTAATTTCTGCATCTCATCTTGTTTTGCTTTAGTCTTTGGCCTTAGTTTTGATATATGTTTGCTTTGTGGCAAAAACTCAGTTGCATTCCAATTTTTACTCATATTGTTTTTCTTAATGTTTTGCCTTAGTTTTTGACATGTGCTTGCTTTGCTGGGAAAAGTCAGTTGCAAATTCCGTTTTTTCTTAAGCTGGGGCTTTCGCTGTAATTTAGTTCTGGAAATGTCATGTAGCTCATGTTTTCTTATATGTCAATGACAACTAATCTTGATTGGCTCACATTCGTAAGAGGAAAGTGAGAAATCTAACTCTTTTGATATCATTCTTTTAATGTGTTTGTTTGCCTGTGAATCAATTAACCACTATTCAATTCCGGACGGATTAAGGTTTATAACTAATGGTTTCGGATAGATTTCTTGTTTAGATCATTGTGATGGTCTTATCAAAGTGCAGTGTAATATTTACTAAACAATTATGAAGTGATGTGAAGAATTGAAGCTTTATACAAGCCCGTGTTGTATCGTTGCAGAACTTTCATTATGGCCAATCTGAATGTTTTCTATACTTTGCATTAGATACAATAAGCAGTTAAAAGATTCGTTACTCTATATGCTCCTAGTATTGCAGATTCATCAAAATTAATTTTGTTTTTTTCGAAAGCCTATTTTTCGTCAATCCTTTACCAACAAACAAAAAAAAAATAAAAAAAAATGAATCATTTCAGGTCTAGATTTGCAGCCACAACACACAATGCCTCCTCACAGTTATGCTCCTTTACCCCAAACTCCAACTGCTCAACCGTCTTTTGCTCAGCCGAGTTCTTCAATGGCACCGAACAATATCTTTGTTCCAATCTTGCCACCTGTTCCTCCACTCATAGTACAATCTCCAGGTACATATTAATGCTAAGTAGCTATCATGTGTAAAAGATGTGTCATCATCTCATTGACTTATAATCATAAAATGGTTCAAATTGATTTATATTTTCAGTGTGCAGCACCTGCCACGTCATCACCTTCAAGCAGGTCACCAACAAACGAACAAACTCCTCAAGCACCCTCAAATTCTCATTCTCATCAAGCTAAACCACCTATTATTAACATCCTTATAGCTCCAGGTATTAAAATCAGAGAATGTTATCTTTGCTTATTTTGGCTTTGTTTCTTATTTTACCCTCACTTGAACTAAATTCAAATGTACCTCTTAATTTCGAAACATTTTGAACTGCAGTATCTCGGCCACCTTCTAATTTGGTCACGTCGAATGAACCAATCATGAATGAACCTCCAACAAATCCTCCAGGTGATAAGAATTTCGTGCGTATCTTATAAAAAAAATAAAGTAAATTATAAATCGACATTGTTGCAGTGTGGATATGTTGAATTGCTACTGTTGGATCAGAGAATATGTGCTTGACAACATTTTATTCATAAATGGATCTTATCTCTGTTTTCAACCAATTTTGTTTCGAATTACGAGATTAAATGAGTATCCTGTTGTTTTTCCGAATAGAACAAATCGCTTTTCCTATTTTAGCTCCTCCTCCAAGCATCAAAAAAACAACAAAACATATTGTTAAAGTTTCTCCACCTGTAAGCTACTCCCCGACTCAAGGTTTGTTGACTTCTTTCTTTTACATACTATTTACCTCTTACAATCGGCTCTTATATGAAGAAAAATAGAGGCAAAAAATGTTATGTGGTTGCACTTAATTCTGTGCAGGTCCTACTTTAAGCAACCCTTTGGAGCACTCTAACAACATTCCCCCACCTCGTCAATTTTCCAAGTCGATAGAGTTTCGTTCACCGAGAATTCATCGTCATCCAAAGGTGTATAATTCTACTCCTGCTCCTGAGCCGCATGTGATTCCTCCCCCTTCTCCACCTGATAGTAATCATGCTCTGATACCAGCTGCAGCTTCTCCTTCTCAGCAGACTATATGTAAGGCTTCATCAATGTAGAGTTATGAGGTTGCAAATTGTATAACATCTCATATTTCAGTTTCATTCAGAGAGAACTTTTTTTTTTTTTTACTCAAATCGCGTTTATTTTAATTTTCAGAATATATCATCTATTCACTCAATTTTCACCTTTTCTTCACAAATTTTTCTCGCATCCGACTGACAGTTGTATCTAATAATAATTTAATTATTTTTTCAATTGAATAAACTTTGCCAATTCATAATCATCATTTCTTGTTCTGTCAAGAAGTTTTTGCATCCAGTCGCCACCTAAGTTTATGCATTCGAATTTTCATTTCTGTAACTTATATATGAATCTTTTCTTCTCGGCAAAGTTCCTATTAACTCTCCTAGAGTATCTCCATCCGGCCCATCGCATAGAATTCCCAAATTGCCCTCGCTGCCACCAATGCTACTTCTACCACCTCCACCTCCTCACAGAGGTTGATGTACTTCTCTTTATCTTCCTCCATAATTGTAAAAATTAGTTTTTTATAAAATACTTAACGTAAAATCAACAGGTTGTGAACCAATGATATGCACCGAGCCGTACACATACGGCCCACCCGAAACTCCATGTGTCTGCGTACTGCCAATACAAGCCGGGCTTCGCCTGAACATGGCACTCTACTCTTTCTTCCCTTTAGTTTCAAAGCTAGCTTCCGTAATTGCTTCCGGAATATTCATGAAGCAAAGCCAGGTTCGTATAATGGGAGCCAATGAAGCCGAAGATAATCCCGACAAGACTATCGTCCTCATTGACTTGCTACCCCTTGGCCGGAAATTTGACTACACCACAGCATACATCACGTTTCAAAGATTTTGGCAGAAGAAAGTGATTGGAAAAACCGAGCTCTTTGGCGATTATGACGTGCTGTATGTGCAGTATCCAGGTAAAGCCATGGCCAAAAGCCCAATATCATCAAGTTTGAATCACTTTATGGTTTTGATCTGACTACTCTTGAGTTTTTTTCTTTTTTTTTTCCGAACTTCGGAAAAATAATAATTAGGTCTGCCACCTTCTCCGCCATCACCGCTGTCGACAGGTGGCATCATATCTAGCAAACCTTATCCGGGCCGTGAAGGCCCGAAGCCCGTTGAGCCCCTTGGGGTGGATGTAAGTGTGAAGCAGCAAAAGCGCGGACTTGGCGGTATCATATTGGCAACGATAGTATTATCTTGTTTTGCGGCTGTAATCTTGTTCTGTGCTGTTGCCTGGGTTTTTATCTTCCGGTACAGGCACCGTGTTTTCCACCCGGACCCTTCTCCGCCAGCCATTTTTTCTTCCCAAGCAAAGTCATCAGGTAAAAATTTATTCTTCCTTTCTCATTTTCTTTTTCCATTTCCTTTGTTTTTTCTCTCTCTTTTTTTTTTGTTATTCTGTGGTGCAGTTGTGATCTTGTTGAATTTTTAGGTTTTTTGTTTCTATGAAATACATTGCAGAGTATTTTGAACTTGATAAAAATGGAAAATAAAAGCATCGTGCCTTGTTATTATAGATTTGCCCCACCCCAACACATAAATGGATAAAAGAAAAAGAAAAGGAAAAAAAAAAAAACAGAAGATTGATCCCCTTATATATAATTTCGGAACACGCTGAGCCTAAGTGACTGCTTCGCACGTTTCGTAATCTTACATGCTAAAAATATTATGCTTTGTAATATGGCTTGGATAAAAATTACTAATTTTTTTATACCAAATAACTTAGGTTCGGATTACCATATATATACAGATATTTAATGTATTTAAATCAATCCATATAAATCTATTTATTATTTTCTTTCTATAATATGCATATAATATTACTTTCCAAATTTTATGCTTTGTTCATATTATTCCATTATGTGTTTTAAATAAAAATATTATAAATAAAATTAGTGATGTATATATATTCGTTTTCATAATTTAAAATAATATTGTTAATTCACTTAGTTATTTATTATAAATTGTTATATATTGTTCTTTACTTATATTTTCCAACTTCAACATAATATATAATTTTTTTTTTTCATTTTTATTATACTAGTTTTTAATTAATCAACAAAAATTGTTTCGACGACGTACATTCATGTGATGCAGGCCTACCCGTGTCTATGATCAGAAGTCCGAACAATTCTCCTTCATTCTCTCTAGGTTCCAGCATGGCACCATACACTGGCTCAGCAAAGACATTCACTTCACACGATATAAAAAGAGCAACCGATTTTTTCAATGAAGCAAGAATAATCGGCGAAGGAGGGTTCGGGCGCGTGTATAGTGGCGTTCTCGATGACGAGACAAAAGTGGCCGTGAAAATACTCAAAAGGTACGACCAACAAGGCGGCCGTGAATTCCTGGCCGAGGTCGAAATGCTCAGCCGGCTTCATCATAGGAACTTAGTAAAGTTGATCGGTATTTGCGTGGAGGACCCTACTCGATGTCTTGTTTACGAATTAGTACCCAATGGTAGCGTGGAGTCTCATTTGCATGGTATGAGTGTGAAGAGAATTGTTAGAAGCCATCGAGTACTTTTCAATTACAATTACAATTACACCCCCCTCGAATTTTCGGCACATTTCAGAAATAATCCCAGATTTTTTTTATTTTTATTTTTTCGTATGGCTGTTTTGTAGTATATGAAAAATTGTGGGGCGTAAAAGTAAAATTCTACTTTTTTTTGAAAACTTTGAGTTGAGCATATTTTGGTGATTTTGTCAGGGTGTGATAAAGAGAGATCTCCACTTGACTGGAATGCTCGTTTGAAGATTGCGCTTGGAGCCGCTCGAGCTTTGGCGTATCTGCATGAGGACTCGAGTCCTTGTGTGATTCACAGGGACTTCAAAGCCAGCAATATCTTGCTGGAGGATGATTTTATGCCAAAAGTATCTGATTTCGGGTTGGCACGCACGGCATTGGACGAGAACAGACACATCTCGACACGTGTTATGGGGACTTTCGGGTTTGAACTACTCTCTCTCCCTTTATTTTTTTCACAAGTCGAATATTCCGACAATATTTGTTTGTATTATATAAGAGAGATACTCAGGCCAGTGATGATGGATCTAGGAATTTCACTAGAGGGGCCGATTTTAAATGTTATAACGAACTTGTAGTTTAAGTCAAAACGCTTATTTCATGTAAAAATATATTTACTATAAATATAAATATTGATATTTGTACCATCAATTTTTTAAAAAACTTAAAATCCGTACCACCCTCACACTTACTTTTAAAAACATAAACAAAAAAAAAAAAATATGTGATTTCATGTATTTATAATTTAAGTTCAACATCTACAGTTTACGTGAAAAATAAATTTTTTGGTTGAAAATTTAATTTAAATTGAACTTTGCAGCACATCATAACATGTTTGTTGACGAGAGTTTATTATAAAATGAATATTTTTTTAAGAAGAAAATAAGTAAATTTAAATACATTGAAAAATTATATTTCTATAAATCCCTAAATCGATTTACAATTAAGAGGCCGAAAGAGTAATAGATCATTATAAATATTTTCAAAAACTCATCTAGAAAAATGTAAAATATAAGGATCTTCAGTACATTTTTTAATAAATAAATAATATTAGTAATTTAAATTAAAAAATCATAAAAATAAGTTTTAATTATTAATATATTGTAAATATTTTTTTACATTTTCTTTATATGTATCTATATATATATATATATTGATTTAAAAAATTCTTATCCTCACATATATCGTCAAAGGTACGTAGCCCCCGAGTACGCAATGACAGGTCATCTCCTCGTGAAAAGCGACGTCTACAGTTACGGAGTCGTCCTCCTCGAACTTCTAACCGGCCGCAAACCGGTCGACATGTTCCAACCTCCGGGCCAAGAAAACCTCGTCTCGTGGGCCCGACCTCTCCTTGCAAGCCCACAAAACCTACAGTCGATTGTCGACCAATCCATACTAAATTCCGACCCTTCTCTTCTCGACAGTATTTCGAAAGTAGCCGCAATTGCCTCGATGTGCGTGCAGCCAGAGGTTTCCAACAGGCCTTTCATGGGCGAGGTAGTTCAGGCCCTAAAGCTCGTCTGCAATGAGTGTGACGAAAATCGAGAATGCCTGTCAAGAAACTCGAGCAGCAAGGATTTGTCTTTGGGCCCGGAAGTTAGGGAAAGTAGTGCTTATTCGGGCCTGGCCCGTTTGCCGGGCCCTTTACTTTCTCCGCCTTCGACTTACTCGGATTACGATTATCGGATGGATATTGTGGAGAGGGATCTTTCGATGTCGGGCCTGTTGAGCCCGTCGGCCAGATTCGGGCCGCAGGATTCGGAATCTTTCAGGAGGCATTCGAGTTCGGGCCCACTAAGGACAGGACAGGCAAGGCCCATTTGGAGAACCATGAAACGGTTTTCGCGTGGGAGTGTGAGCGAACATGGGGCCCGGTTTAGACTGTGGCCCGGGTCTCATTAGTGTGTATAGGCGCTTTTTTTTTTTTGGGTTGGTAAGTGATAAATGAAGGGTGATTTTAGGAGTACATTCAGTAAATGTACTGTTTTGCAAAGAGCAATGTGAGGATTATGGGCTGTTGGTGAAAGTTGTTGTACAGAAATGAGTTCATTTACCAGTGGCTTTTGGTCACACATTTGTGTATTGACATGTATAATGGAACTGCCCAGAAAAATAATTAAGGAGAAGACCTTCCCTTCTTGTTTGAAAGGATTGGATGACACAACTCTTTATATTATTTTTTTTATTTTTTTCTTAGGAATGTACAACATTATACTATTAGGGCACGTTTGAGGAGTACGGCGGGATAAGAGCTTATTCGGGATAAAAATTATCCTCTATCGTGAACTTTGAAAGTGTATTCAATGACTTCAGTCTGTTCACGGATGTTGAATCAAATCAATGGGATAATAATAATCCACACATTAATAATTGGTCGTTTGGGAAGTTTGATAATGGAGCAATACAATTTAGATTCCATGTATATCCTTGTCATTACTTAAAAAACGATATATTTATTGATTAGGCTGAG